TTTTTCGCCATTTTCGGCCTCCGGGGGCCCTCGCCGGGCCTCGGGACCGTCAAAAAACGACTCGGGACGAAAAACCGGTCCCGGGGAAGGGGTCGGGACCTCTGGGGGTCGCGTCATGAAAAAATCATGACGTCGGGGGTCTGGGAAGGTCGGGCGTTGGCAGAACTGGGTTTAGTGGAATGGTTCAGTGATTTGTACCGGGGGCGCCCCCCAGTACTGGGGGGCGCCCCCGGTACTGCCCAAAGAGAGCCCAGGACTGCCCAAAGAGGGCGCCCCCCAGTACCGGGGGCGCCCCCCAGTGGAAATGGGACTTCCCATTTCCACTCACCGGAACTGCCGTCACCCGAAAGACACCAGCTACACGGCAAACCTGGTTTCGTGAATCTGGCCAACTGAGGGGCCCCATGGCCCTACCACTAACCGGGTCCCCTTACCCGGGTCCTGGCTATACCCGAGAAAGTCTGCGTGCGCGCCGCTCCTCAGCCCTGCTTCCGCTCGCCCCCCGCGCATCACCGCGCTGGTGCGCCAATGCCGGCGGGCCCTCCCTGGGCGGCCTCGGGTGCCCCCACCTCGCCGTCCTGCTCGTGCCGCCGGCAGGTGTGTGAGGGCGAGCCGTCTCCGGGCGGGATGAGGTGCAGGGAGAGGAGCGAGGCAGGGGGGCGACTGCAGGGCCCGCTGTTGTGAGTACAGGGCAGTTGTTAATACATAGGATGTTTAAGAATATAGGATTTTTCATGCATGACTAATGTATGAATAAATTCATGCATGAACTCATCGTTGTTTTGAATGCTAAATCCTTGCATTTTTAATACATGACGCGGAGCATGTATTAAAAACGGCACTGTAAGGACTGGACGCCAACTTGGCCCCTCGGAAGCAGCTGGGGCCCGTTCCGGGACGCCCTGCGCTCTGCTGGGCCTCACCTCGGGCGGCCGTGGGCCAGCTCCGTGCATCGAGGCCGTCCCAAGCACGAAGGTCGGGCCGTCTCGGGGCCGTCTGGGGCCCCATCCGGGCCCCTCTTCAGCTGCTTCGGATCCGTCGTAAGGCCCCCCATTTCGAACCTCCTCTGAATGCGGATTGGGTCGGGCCAGCGCGGGCAAGACGCCTCGGCTGCTGTGTAAGCCAGCGCGTCCAACCACACTAATCGCACGGGCCAGCGCGCGAGGAGACGCGCGGGAGGGCTCGGCCGGCCATTGGAAAATATCGCGCCGCTGGCGCAGGCAGCAGCAGCGGCGTGGCGTGCCCCCCCGTGCAGGACGTGCAGACAGGTCTGCCCGTCCTGCGCGAGCGAGGGGGCCCAACGCGGAGCCCAAGAACCGTCGGCCACGGATGGGCCGGGGATGTCCAGATTCGAGTCGGCTGCGAGGGCGATGCTCGAAATCATCGAGCGAAGGAGGGCCAGGGCCAAGGAAGAGCACCTCGGCGCTGCAGCACTCCCAGCAGAAGCGCAGCCCGCGCCAGCAGTGTGGCAAGGAGGCGATGGCCCCGGATCCGACATCCAGACCAGCTCACAGGTCGAGGCTGATGGAGTCCCTCTCATTGACGTCCGTGACTGCTGCACCAGCGGAGACCGCGCCGTTCTTCTTGTCGTACTCGATGAGCAGCTCGCAGACGTAGTCGATGTCTTCAAGCTCGAGGCCGTGGTGAGCACCTATCAGGAAGCCCTCCTTCATGACCCTGTCGGAGCCCGGGAAAGACTGCAAGTACTGGCGATAGGCCGGGTGCCTCGTGATGTTGCCCGCGAAGAACACGCGGATCTGTACGCCGTTGCTCTCGAGGTACTGGAGGATGCCCTTGCGGTCGTGGTAGAGGAGCGGGAACGCGAGCCAGTCGTACTCCTCGTGCCGCTGGGGCAGGACGTACCTAACGCCCGCCTTCTTCAGGTTTTCCACGTATCGGTTGATGTTGCGGGCGCGGGCCTTAGTGAACCTGTCTAACTTCTCCAACTGCGCAAGCCCGAACGCCGCGTTCATCTCGCACGCCTTCATGTTGTAGCCAACGCAGCCGTAGAGGAACTTGAAATCGTACTCTATGCCGTCCACGGCGTGGCCGAAGCGCTCGGACATGTCCTCGGAGTTGTTGCCGATCCGGCCCCAGTCGCGAAACATGAGGGCCCTGTCCCTCAGCTTCTCGTCGTTGAACATGACTACACCACCGAGGCCCCCAGCGGTGATGATGTGGGATGCGTAGAACGAGATGACCGAGATGTCCGACTCCGCGGTGTAGGTGATGCTGTCGCACGAGTCTTCGAAGAGGTAAATGCCCTTTGGGATCCTGGCGCGGAGGTCTTTCCAGTCGATCTTGCTGCCAGCCAGATTGGGAATGAAGACGCACTTGGTCTTGGGCGTGATTCTCTTGAGGATCTCATCTACCTCGGGAACATAGCGATCGGGAGTGACGTCGCAGAACACAGGCTTCAGGCCGAGCTGCTCGATCGGCGCCACCGCTGTCGAGAAAGTGCACGCAGGGGTCACGATCTCGTCGCCCTTCTCGAGGCCCAGGCAGGCCAGACCGATCATGTTGCCCGAGCTGCCAGAGTTCACCATGATGCCGTACTTCTTGCCGAAGATGGCCGCCACCTCTCGGGGGGACCGAGACTGTGCGGAGACGGACCGCACGGTGACCTCGGAATCTCCAACGACCTCACCGCACGGTCCGTCACCGCACCGACTTGGGACCCGGGAGGCCCGTCGCCCGCGACGTCCTCGAAGGAACGACCAGGGGAACAACACTCCCCGGCCGACCCGCACTCCCGCTGACTCACCACACGGTGTGGCCGCCGCGCCGTCCCAGGGCCCCCACGGCACCTTCTTCTCGAACTCCTCGGTCCGGGGCCCCGGCGCCAGCCAGCCGTCCCGCAGCGAGGCCTCGACCGCCTTGATCTCCTCCTCGCCGTACGCCTCGAACTTGTACGGCGCGTACCAGATCTTCTTGTGGTGGGCCTTCTGAAGGGGCTCTGGAACACACAAATAAATCCACACACAGAACAGGATTCCCCATATATTCCCATACCTTCTGGGTTTTTTTCTTCCCCCCCGCTTCCCATATTTTCCCACACTTTCTGGGGAATCGACGATTGATTGTGTCTGTGTGCTTTTTCCCCTCCTGACCTTCGCCGCCACAGGGCCCTGCCGCGGCCGGGCGCCCGCTGCTCCCTCGCCGTCGGCTGGCGCGACGTGCTCGGCCACGACCTTGAGGCGCTGCATGGGCGGCGAGGCTGGCGGCGCAGACGGGTCTGGGAGGGCGCCGAGCGCTCGGCTGCGTCTTCGGGCCTGGCCCGTCTCCCTCTCTGAGCCGACGGGGCCGCACACCCTCTCCCGAAGCGCTCCTCCCTCTTCCTCCTCCTCCTCCTCCTCCTCCTCCTCCTCCTCCTCCTCCTCCTCCTCCTCCTCCTCCTCTCCTCCTCCTCGCCTCCTCCTTTCCCCCCCCTCCTCCTCCCTCCCCTCTCTCCTCCTCCTCCTCCTCCTCCGCCTCTCCCCTCCCTCCTCTCCTACCTCCTCCTCCCCTCACTCTCCCTCCTCCCTCTCCTCCTCCTCCTCCTTCCTCCTCCTCCTCCTCCTCCTCTCCTCCTCCTCCTTCCTCCACCTCATCTCCTCCTCCTCCTCCTGTTCCTCCTCCTCCTCCTGTTCCTCTTCCCCCCCCGTGGACCAGCACCCGAAGCCCCCCCGTGATGCTGTGCCCGGCGCACTATGATCAGAGACCAGCAACATACGTGTGCACGTGTGCGGCCAGCTTCCGGTGGCCGGCGCTTCAGCGCGGTCGCTCGTATACGCGGGACTGCGGAAGGTGTACGCAAATGCACGTGATTTCCGAAACCCTGAACCCAAGAACGTTCTCATCTCTTAGGGGCGCATTTTTTATTTCCGCCACATTCCGCCGGCCTTCCGCTGGCTTCCGCTGGCGGAGGCGGCCTCGTTTTACTTCCGCCGCCCTTCCGCCGCCTTCCGCCGCGGAAGAGATGGCAACTCCTTCGATCCCCGAAAGCAGGGCCCTTTTCGGAACACCCCGTGTACGTGTCTCCGTGCTCGCCCAGAGGAGCAACCTCCAGGCCGCGCTAACGCCCGCATCCAGCGGCCGCCACATGCCAACAGAGCTGCTGCCCAACCTCTTGCCAGAACCTGAGCGGCAGGTGCTCTCAGAGAGTCTTGGATCCACCGACCCTGCAAGCACCTGGAAGACCCTGAGATCCGACGGAGCGGATAAGTGGCCTCGGGAGCACCCCGCGCGCTCTGCGGAGCTTCCTCAGCCTTCTCCGAAAGCAGCATCAGCTTCTCAGAACTCGCCATCGCTCGGACGTCCATTCCCTGTGTTGTTTCTCGGTTTCGTGCGTGGCTTTTTCGCCAAATGATCAAGGATGCTCCTCGATGGCTCTCGCCGAAGGAAAATGCACACGTCCGAGCGATCTAAGAGAAGGCCAGGGGGGCTCCTGCGAGACCCCTGCGCCCCCGGAGACGGCCGGCCCCCTCCTCGCTCCCCACCGCGCGCGCCGCCGATTCTCTCTGCAGAGGCCTCCAGTGTGGGGCTCCTGTGCAGACGGGGGTCCAGAGGATCGCGCCAGATCCTCGGCGCATCGGCGATGCGCCGGCGGCGGCGGCGTGGAGAAGACCGGGCTCCACATCGAGCCGCATGGGCGATGCGGTTGCGATCCTCTGGCCCCATCTGCTCGGACCCCAGTTTCGGCGCGTGCCCGCGCGGAAGCGAGGAGGAGAAGGCTTCTCAGAAGGCGGCGGGGCTTCGCAGAAGCCCTCCAGCCTTCTGAGAAGCTTGGCGTCCCTGCGGGGAGGACCCAGAAAACCTCTCCGAAGGTCCGAGGCCTCCCGAGCCTTCTGAGAAGGCCCAACCCGTCTCGGGCGCCAGGTAGTTTTGGGGTCACATCTCGGCTCTCTGGTGGCCGTCCGGGGCGATCCAGGCACCCCCGGAACGCCCTCGGCGAGGCGCAGCTGCTGGAGAGCACCCCGAGGCCGGGGAAGTGCCGAGGGCCAACGGACGCGCCCGACGGCCTCGAGCCGCGCCGCCTTTGAGACGGCCCCGCCCCCCTCGCTTCCCCCCCCCGCCACGGGAGCCCGTTCCTTCCTTCATCCAGGCAGGTTTACTTGCATGGCGTTCGCCCCCCCCCCCCCCCCTCGCCTCTCCTCCAACGAACACTAGCGTGCAAGTGCCTCTCGACCTGGGTGATCTCCGCACGTGCGTGTCCTCTGCGGCATGCTTCAGGCTCAGCCCCCCCCCCCCGTCCACGCAAGTAAGCTTGCGGTGACCTAAAGATCGACGGGGGGATCGACTGCAGAGTTGATTTACCACAAAATTTGATGTTCACGCCGACTCTTCGACAACAACACGTCAACCATTCGTAGATCCGCGAAGGTTCTGCGAGCTGCCCGTGGCTTCCACCAGAAACATCACCATCCCGGGGCAAATCCATTCTGCAGCCGATCCCCTACTCGCAGAAAGAAACGCGGGCTCCTGACTCGCCGCCGACGCCTGGGGAGGCCCAGGCCCCCGTCGCTCGGGCGTCCCTTCCCCGTGCTTGTCTCGGTTCCGCGCGTGGCTTGTTCGCCAAAGGATCAAGGCTGCTCCTCGATGGTCCTCGCCACAGGAAACATGCACACGTCCGAGCGATGCCAGGAGTCGGGCGTTGGCAGAACTGGGTTTAGTGGAGCCTGGTTTAAAAATGATTAACCGGGGGCGCCCCCCCCCGTCCCATTTCCACGAACCGGAACTGCTGCTATGGCAAACCTGGTTTAGCGATTCTGGCCAATTGAGGGGGCCCCGGGGCCCTACCACTAACCGGGTCCTCGAGGGCCTCGAGGAGGAGCAATGGAGCAATGGCCGAGGGCGCAGAAGGGGATCCCGACTGAGCCTCGGAGGAAGCGCCGATGGGCGCGGACGAGCGCCCGAACTGCTGGCCACAGCTAGTCCGAGTCACCAGACTCGGGCAGTGGCTGCAGCACGGGGGCCGAGGGGGAGAGGGGAGCCGAAGGCGCGGGCCTGCTCAGCGCCGCAGCATCGGCTCGCGGCACAGGGCTCCGACCCTCCTCCTCCTCGACCCCACGAGCGACCCCGACCCCCCCATCCGCCACCCCCGTCCCGACGACAGTGAGCGTCTGCACGGCGGCCTCAGGGGCAATCGGGGCCAGCATCAGAGGAGGAGGAGGAGGAGGAGGAGAGGAAGAGGAGGAGGGGGGGGGAGGAGGAGGAGGAGAAGGAGGAGGAGGAGGAGGAGAAGGAGGAGGAGGAGGAGGAGGAGGAGGGGAGGAGGAGGAGGAGGAGGAGGAGGAGGAGGAAGGAGGAGGAGGAGGAGGAGGAGGAGGGGGAGGAGGAGGAGGAGGAGGAGGAGGAGGAGGAGGAGAGAGGAGGTCCTCGAGGCGATCTGGCCGAGCGGGGGGGCCTCGGCGCGCCGAGGCCCGCGCGAGCCCCGGCGGGTGCTCCGCGGGGGCGCGGCGCCCGCGGGAGGCCCGCGGGCGCCTCGGCGGGCGTCTTTCTGCTGGCGGGCGCGGCGCGCGGGGGCAGCCGGCCGGTGCTTGCGGCGGGCCAAATGCGGTTAAGTCGGTCGCGTCCCCCTGCAGGGGGATTGTCGACGAAAAATACAAAGAATACCCCAACCATGCATCCAAAAGGTGAAAAAAATACTCAAAAAATAGTCCCCAGGCTATTTTCGGACTATTCTGGGACTATTTTGGGGGTAGGTGTTATTTTTCGTCGAAAATCCCCCTGTCGGGGGACAGGCCCGACTCAAAAAGACGGCGAGGAGGCACGGCGGGAGGCCACAGGGCTGGACCTATAGACGCTGTTTCTGGCGATCTCGTTTTTTGTTTTTCATCCCCCAGTTTGGTTAGGTCTGCTTCTTGGACATGCTCGTGCTTCCGCCCTCCCAAGAGGTGAGGGCGCCCACAGAGTCGCGGGGCGTGAGGCGAGCCCAGCGGCCCCTCGAGCGGTCCTGGATGGGACGGCCACCGTCGAGGGGCCGGCATCCAGGCGCAGCAAACGCAGTGCAGGACATGTTTTTGGCGAGTTCGTGGGCCTTTTTCGCTTCGATGGCATGTTGCTGCAGAGGCGGATTGAAGACAGAACGAGGGAGAACGAAAGCAAGACGAACACGAAAAACACCGAAAACGAAAACGAAAAGAATCTGGACGGTGTTGTTCGTTTCCGTGTTGCTCCCCACATCCAAAGTGGGGTTTTTGTTTTCTCTGCACACGCCGCGCAGGATCTCACCCCCCCCCTTTCCTCTTTTTCTCTCTCTCTCTCTCTCTCTTTCTCTCTCTCTCTCTCTCTCTCTCTCTCTCTCTCTTTCACACACTCACCATCATCACCATCATCATCACCATCAACCACCATCATCGTCATCACACGCACACACTCATAATCATTACCATCATCATCACCATCAACCACCATCACCGTCATCACTACTCATCATCATAATCCTTCATCACTACTCATCATCATAAACCTCATCATCATCATCGTCACCATCATCACCACTCGATCACCCACTCACCCATTCAATTACTCACTCATCCTCAGTAGGCTTCGGAGACAATGGTCCTCCGACGTAGGACCGCCGCCACTCCCAACAGCATCGTCACCATCTCCATCATAATCTCTCGACCACCCACTCAGTGGCCATCATGATCATCATCCGCATCCTCATCACTCATTCATCACACACTCATCATCATCATCATCATCATCATCATCATCATCATCATCATCATCATCATCATCATCATCATCATCATCATCATCATCATCATCATCATCATCATCATCATCTCACTCACTCCTCACTCACTCACTCACTCACTCACTCACTCACTCACTCACTCACTCATCAATTTTTCGTCATCATTCACTCCCTGGCTTGAATCTGGAGGAAATATCAAGCGGGAGCCTCGTCTGTGAGTGAATTGCGACGAAGTCTCAGGCAGGAGCCCCTCCATATGGGGCCCGCACCTCATGTTTATAATCCGAAGCGGGTCATTCGAAACGTGTAAGTGACGTCACTTTTGGGCCCCTGTGGCGAGAATCTGGAGGAAATATCAAGCGGGAGCCTCGTCTGTGAGTGAATTGCGACGAAGTCTCAGGCGGGAAGCCTCTCTCTCTATGGGGCCCGCACCTCACGTTTTTAATCCGAGGCGGGTCATCCGAAACGTGTAACTGTCGTCACTTTTGGGCCCCTGTGGCGAGAATCTGGAGGAAGTATCAAGCGGGAGCCTCGTCTGTGAGTGAATTGCATCGAAATCTCAGGCGGGAAACTTCTCCCTATGGGGCCCGCACCTCATCTTTTTAATCCGAGGCGGGTCATCGGAAACGTGT